TCCAGACCCTGCACTGAGACCAGGACCAGACCCTGCACTGAGACCAGGACCAGACCAGCTCCAGACCCTGCACTGAGACCAGGACCAGACCCTGCACTGAGACCAGGACCAGACCAGCTCCAGACCCTGCACTGAGACCAGGACCAGACCCTGCACTGAGACCAGGACCAGACCAGCTCCAGACCCTGCACTGAGACCAGGACCAGACCCTGCACTGAGACCAGACCAGGACCAGACCCTGCAGTGTTTGTTTTTCATCACAGATAAATCTTCAGAACGTTTCTTGTTCTGGTTTTTGTTGACATTATTTGTTTGTTGTTTTTGATCCGAGGCCACAGGTTCTATAAAACAAACAACAAACAACAAAGTGGGTCCAGTAACGAGTTTTTCAGCCCAGCGGGTCGTCGGAACATTTCCTGTGCTTCATGAACTCAGCTGGTCAAGTGATGAACTTGGTGACTGGTTTTACTTCCTGATCAACCACTGAGCTGCCCTGCAGGGGGCACGGAGGAGCAGATGGTGGGGGTTCAACGCCTTGCTCAAGGGCCTAGTGTGGGGCAAATGAGGGTGGAGACAGGTGTGGGTGCTTCATCCTTCCCACCCACATTTTGATGTTGTCTGTACCGGGAGTTGAACCAGCGATCTTCTGATCACCTCTCTAACCTCTGCTCCACCACTCCCTCATGAAATAAACAGAATAAAATCTGAAATAATCCCAGAATTCCCTGCTTCCTCCCAGGCAGCGGCGTCATGGCGTCCCGGTTCCTGGACCGTCTGAAGCGCTCGCTCTTTAAGGACGGTCCGGCGGGACAGGAGCCCGAGCAGGAAGGCGGCAGCCAACAGGAAGAGGCGGGCTTCAGTAAGGACTGGTGGGAGGCGGAGCTTGAGGAGGAGGAGGAGTCTGTGAGCGAGCGGCTCGGGGGGACGCTGTGTTTCGACACCGGAGCGGTCGGGTCCGAGGACTGCGCCGAGGGCGACAGCGAGGGGCGGGACAGCGACTCGGACTTCCTGGGAGAGCCGATGGAGGAGGGACTCAGCAGCACAGGTGACCTGATCCACTAACCCGCGTTCTGCTCCTCTCTGGACCCGGTTCTGAGTTTGGGTCGGATCTGATGGCTCATTTACAACAGAGACCTGATTTAACAAAGAACAGACGAGGTCCAGACAACAATAAACAATAATAAAAAATGAAAAGTAAATAGAAACAACTAAATTATAAAACAATGTAAAAAACTAAAAACAGGAACTTATCAGATGTTTGAAGACACTTAGAGAGGTCAAAGGTCGAGAGCTTCAGGTCTTTTTGTAAGATATTCCAGGAAACAGGAGCGGAGCAGGAGAAGGTCCTTTTGTCTAGTTCAGTCCTCACTGAGGGAACACTGCAGGTAATGATGTCCTGAGAGAACTGGAGGAAGTTCCTTCATGTTGAACACATTGCCTCCGATCTGAGAGATGGTTGGAGAACCGTACAATGGTGTGTTCTGAGGAACCAGATCCTGAGATCTTCTGACACAAGATGTTCTGATCCACAGAGTCAGGATCTTTAGACAGGTCTAAGAAAAGTGCAGCACAATAATCCTCAGCATCCAGTGCTTCAACAACGTCATTAAGAACCTTCAGTGAAGCAGTGGTTGTGCTGTGTTGTTTCCTGAAACCAGATTGATGTGGAGGTAAGATGTTAAATGAGTCCAGGTCATTTTTGATCTGAGAGTTCTTTTATTGAAGGAAATGTTACAAATGCATTTATAGAAAAAATGCAGGAACCTTCAGAAGAACCAGGTTCTCAAGAAACTAAAACTCCCATTATCTGAGCTTCAAACAGTTAGTGAAGGTTCTGTCATGTGGTACCATCAGAACCTCCTGCTGCTCACAGGTCAACAAGTTCTTCCAGTTTTCACAGAGACTGTTCGTCTGAGGCTTACTTTTTACTCTGCGTTTCTGCTTGATATGCTCCTCTGTCTCCATCATGGCCGCTCCCTCTGAGCCTTCATGTGGTCTCCGATCGGACCTCTGGTGATCAGAAGGATTCTGTCTGAGGGTTGGCAGGAAACAGGAAGTGGGCTGAACCTGGAGTTTCAGAATAAGAGCCTGCTCAGTCTCAGATTAGATTTTTACAAAAGTAAAAGTGGATCTTCAGAGAAGACGCTTGTTGAAATGTTTCCAGTATTTTTCACCGTCAGTTGTTGGTTTCTTGATTTGCTTAGAAGCCAGTCCAGGGGGCGTGTCCCCTGTAGGCCCCGCCCCCTCCTTTCTGCTGACTCAGCAGCTTCAGGAGAGCTGGCGGAGCCTCCGCGGCCTCGGAGGGGGCGGCGTGGCTCACGGTGCGAGGCGACAGACGGACAGCTTGCTGTTTGAGGTGACGGACGCCGGCGCGGTGCAGGACGGCTCCTCCAAATATGTGGTGGGTTTACCCACAATCCTCCACGGTTTCTGTTGAGACAATGCTAAAACCGAACCCGTCCCTCCAGCTCTACACGATCCACGTGATCCAGTCCGGCGGCAGCGATAAAACTCCGGCTGTCATCACCCGCCGCTACTCTGACTTCCAGCGCCTCCACGCCACGCTGCGCCGGAACCACGCAGACCAGATGGAGCGCGTGTCTTTCCCCCGTAAGCAGACGTCCCGCAGTCCATCACCATCTGCTTCTTGTGTCCAACATCTGCTTCTTGTGTCCAACATCTGGTTCTGATGTTCGTAGGGAAGAAGCTGAGGAGGAACTTCACGGCAGAGACCATTGCCAAGCGCAGCCGGGCCTTTGAGCAGTACCTGTCTCACCTGTGCTCTCTGCCCGTCCTGCGGGCAGCGCCGAGCGTCCGCGACTTCTTCTACCTGAGCGACCTGCAAGCGGGCCAGCTGCTCATCAGGTAACAGAGTTTAAGCCCCACCCCCCACTCAGACTGACCAACAGTTTTTATGTTTTATTGTTTTCTCTTGTCGAGGGCGGGACGGTTCCAGGAGGCGCTGGGTCCGTTGCTCAACGCCAAGAGGCTCCAACAAAAACTGGGCTGGGCCTGTAACCAGGACAACCAGACTCAGGCCCCGCCCCCAGCCTCCTCTCATTGGTTCTTTTCCCTGGTGGGGCTGCTGTACTGTTTTCAGGAAGTGGAGCAGCTGGAAGAGGCTCGGGATCACTGCGACCATGCCCTCCGCGTTCTGACTAACATCCAGAATAAGCCCCACCCATCACATGACAAGCCCCTCCCACCACCACCTCAGTTGGACAGGCCGCACCCACTGCTTCCACCGTTGCTACAGATGGCGATCCGGCTGTCGTGGCAGACAGGAAGAGACAAGCAGCAGTGGGAGGAGCTTCTGCAGCATCTACAGGACCAGAAGGCGGAGCTTGACAACCGACCGGCCATCAGAGAGTTTCTGGTCAAACAGAACCTGCAGGAGAGCGACGGCGAAAGCTGAACACGCCGCAGACTAGCACTGGGGTATGACTCTTACAGGAAACACACCTGAGATTTTCAGAATGAAGGTCAACTTTCTTGAAGGGAACAAACTTTAATAATAAAGCAACATTTTTTGTTAAAGTGTTGGAGTGTAGCCTGATCGTTCAGGCTCATTTATCTCTAAATATATATTTATTTTTTTTAAGTCTGATTTTCTGCTCGGAGTTGACCTTCAGTCAAGTTCAACAGGAACAGGAAGTTGTTCTTTAACGTCTCAGCAACTGAAGGGAAGCTGAAAGAAGAAGGGAATAAATTTGCACAGAAAATAAAAGGCTTGAAACAGTCTCGTGATGACATCACATCCTGTGCAGGAACTGTCTGATAACCGGTTCGCTGAAGGAATCCTTTCAGAATAAAAGCATGCAAGTTCAGTTTCTCTGTGGTGGAATGATGGTTGTGAGCGGAGCTGGGTGCTCAGAGGGTGTTTTATTTTGTTAGACACAAACAGGAAGTGATGGCAGAATGATGCTGAGATGTTTCTCCTCAGCTTTTACTTTGTAAAAACCTCAGAAGCTCAGGCTGTTTTATAAAACTGCTCAGTGAGTTTTTATACACATTCAAACTGAAACTTTACCTGCCAAATTAAAGTATTAGCAGATCTTTAAAAACAGTATTTTGTTCGGACTTTAAAAATGTCGGTAAAATCAGATTTAACAGAATAAAACCACAAAGATGAATTGAAACAAACTGCTGGTTTATTTTCTTTGAACACGTTTGTGATAAATTTAGGTCGAAGTGAACTTTTCACGGCTGGTGGACTCGTCGTGTGTTGGTCCTTTTCAAACCATTAAATCATCGTTTGAGTTTTAACCCTTTCGTTCGTTACTCAACTCACTTAAGATATTTTAATTTCACAAAATGAATTTACTGAACTCATTTTAAACTTTAAACTGTATTTATAGTAAACATGGCAACAGAATGTGGAGGTTGAAGTTAAGACAAAACGTGCACCCCCCAGTGGCTGGATGCAGAATAGACTTTAAGCTCCGCCCCCTCTCGGGAAACAAACATTTTCTTGACTAAAAAAATAAAAATGCATTTAAAGTCACATGCATGTTCGCTGTATGTTCACGTTTACGTTGCAACATGTTTAGTGTTTGTCAGTTCTTCAGCAATTTAAAAACAGCCATGTGACTCCATGATAGTGGGCGGGGCCTAAAACCCCACGTCCAAAATCCTCAGACTCAACATGGCCCCTGTAAACCAGATGTTTCAGATTTGTCCAACAGAAGTCAACAAAGACGTGTCCTCCGTTGTTGTTTACAGTTTTTGTTTCAAAGTAAACAAGGAGATTTAATTTTAAATGAGAGGCGGAACATAAATAAAAACATGGCCGACACATCAGCGCTGGACACGTGGAGCGGGAAGATTTGACCGATGGCGACGTCTTCAGATGATGCGTCAGGATCTTTAGGGATCAAATATTATTTCTGAAATTTTCATTTAAATCATCCAGAGGTTCATGAGATATTTTGTTAAACGGTTTGTACAAATAAATTATGTAAGATCTGACCTCTGTGGAGTTCCTCAAGGCTCTGTACTTGGACAAAAGTTATTTATTTTATATGTGAATGACTTGGTAAATGTGTCAGGACTCCTAAATTTTTCTGTTTGGGTAAAGATGTAAAACGGATGTTGGAGTTGATGAAGACAGAATTTGATAAAATACAAACTTGGTTTAAACTTAATAAATTATCATTAAATTTAGATAAAACTAAATACATGATATTTAGTAACAAAAAGAGAACTGTTGATGATCCATTTAAAATTGAGGGTGTTGAGATTTGTAGAGTTAATGAGATGAAATTTTTGGGTGTAATCATTGATGAACAGCTAACATGGAAAAATCACAT